CCTGTAACTGTTGTTCTTCGAGATGTGTTGCTCATGTCCATTCGACTCCCACCCTACCTCCCCTTCGTGGGAGTATCCGGCAAGAGGGAACTGAGGTGGGGCAGCGCCGGCAGGGGTACTTATGCCCCGCCATGGTGGCGCCACTCCAGGGGGCGCCCCGCCAGTGCTACGGGTACCGCTAGGGAAAACGCTCTGGAAGACGTGGTGCACGCGGCGCGCACACCTACTTCGAATGGACATGAGCAACACATCTCGAAGAACAACAGTTACAGGTAAGTAACCGTTCTTTTCTTGGAATATTTATGCACTTGAAATTTCTACTCTAGTCCCTTTGGGGTATGTCTACACAGCAGGGCTAAAGTCGAATTAAGCTATGCAACTTGAGCTACATCCATTGTGTAGATGAAGTTGAAATAGTTTAAATCAGCTTGTGGCGCTGTCTACACAGCAGGAAGTCAAAGGAAGACTCTTCTTTCGACTTCCCTTATTCCTTGTACAATGAGGGTTACCATGAATCCGAGTAAGAAGTCCTTCAGCTCGACCTTATTTCAAAATAAAGGTGTGTAGTGTAGACACGCTCTTTATTTCAGAATAATGTCAGTTGTTCTGAAATAACGCTGCTGTGCAGATGTGTTGCTTCGTATAAACGGGATGGTGATGACGTTATTCCAAATAACGCTGCTGTGTAGACGTGTTGCTTTGTATAAATGGAAAAGTGATGATGTTATTCCAAAATAACACTGCTGTGTAGACGTGTTGCTTCGTATAAACGGGAAGGTGATGATGTTATTCCGAAATAACACTGCTGTGTAGGCGTGTTGCTTCGTATAAACGGGAAGGTGATGATGTTATTCCGAAATAACACTGCTGTGTAGGCGTGTTGCTTCGTATAAACGGGAAGGTGATGATGTTATTCCGAAATAACACTGCTGTGTAGGCGTGTTGCTTCGTATAAACGGGAAGGTGATGATGTTATTCCGAAATAACACTGCTGTGTAGGCGTGTTGCTTCGTATAAACGGGAAGGTGATGATGTTATTCCGAAATAACGCTGCTGTGTAGATGTGTTGCTTCGTATAAACGGAAAGGTGATGTTTAAAAAATGAAGTCTCTTGGGATAATAGGTGAAAAAAAATCATTTTCTGGACGGGAAACCCAAACTCCCAGCAACCCACACAAATCCTTATGTAAGATCAGCTGGGGAAAGAACATTGAAGCCTTACAAGTTAGAATTAGAAATTAGAGTTTGGGCTTCACGTGTCTTTCAGGTGTTTGAAGGCCCTTGCGTGCAGTGGGGTGTCAGGCTGTATTGAAACTGTACCTATGATGCTGAGTCCTTTGCCAAAGTGGGGATCATCCCTGCAGGCAAACACTTGTAAAACCAACCAAGAGAGGGGGCTTTGATCTTAAAGCCAACGTCTCGAAATCCTCAGAGACGCCGGGGGAGGGAGGAAATACCCCTCGTGTCTGGGCCTGTTTGTGAAAGGGATCACGGGTCGGTAGCCACCCAAGGCAAGATAAATATCCGAGGAGGGAAGGAGACGGGCTTCGGGGCTGTTCGCAGCTCAGGGGGAGCCTGCCTGTGCTCGGCTTTCCCCGGGCGGGGACTGTGCAGAACTGCCCAGGAAACAACCGACTCCCCACCTCCCCGCCCCACGGAGTTTGGGCAGGAACCGGCTTGCGCAGCTGCCATCTAGAGGCGCTTGGCCGCCGTGTATATAACTGCGAGTCAGCCGGCCGGAGCGCTCAGTCGCTGGCAAACAGCTCCGCGATCTGGGGCAGCAGGAGAGGGAAAAGCCCGGCCAAGTAGGTACGGAACCGATTCCTGCGCCGCGCTGCGGGAGGGGGCGTGGGAATGTGGCGCGCCGCGTTCCCACGCGTGTCTGCGCGGCGTGGGAAAGCCCCAAAGGCTGGGGGCCGGAGAGACCGGGTTCCCCGCGGGGCTGGGGGGGAGGGGGTGAAGGTACTTGCGGAAGGCAAACCCGGCGCCCAGGAACCTCCCAAGTTTCTTTGTTGTGCACGGGAGGCGATTCCGCGTTGGAGCTTGGTTGGAGCGAGCCCCACGCGTGCTCCGGTGCCTGCCCCCCTCCTCTGGGCTCTGTGCTAGCCTGGCAGACAGCCCCTCCTGACACGGGAAATCAGCAGCGACGCTTTTCCTCGGGTAGCCTGTGGGTGGTATTTTTTTTTGGGGGGGGGGGAGTAGCTGGTGGTCCCCTCTCTGCCCTGCCGCCCAATCCAGGGCTTTGCGGGGCTGTTTACCAGCTTGGCTGAGGAAGCTGCAAATCTCCAAGTTACACAGGGTCTGCTTTGGCGTGGGCTAGTTTCACGGGACCTTTGTTTCTTCCCCTCTCCCCTGACCTCTCCTGGAAGTGCAGATGCCCTGACAACCTGGCTTGAATAGGCGGAGCATTGGGGAGGGCGAGGAAAGTTGAAAAGTCTCAGAGGGGATGGCCCCGTGAGTCTGTAACTTTAAAAAACAACCAAGCGGTAGTCCTGCGGCACCTGAGAGACTAACACAAATATACAAGTGGTGTCACCAGCTTTTGTGGGTTTGCCCCCGAAAGCTCAGGAGACCATCTATGTCTTTTTGTTAGTGGCTAGGAAAGTTTGTGGAGCATTGTCCTTAGGCTGGGCTGGGCGGCGGAGCCATTTCAATGGACGGGCCATCCAGTCGCCCTGGGACTTCTGGGGTAATGAGGAGCTGTAAAGTTACTCCAGCCTGTTGTTAAAAGTGGCATAATAAGGTTTAAAACGGGGCCAGCGCCTCCTTCCAGCTTTTATGGGCCCCGGGAGGCGTTTGGTGACATTCCCTGCAGCTGGCAGGCTGCAAAGATCGAGGAATCGCAAAGGGGCCACTTTTTGTGCTTTCTCTGCTGCAGAGGGGGGCTTTTTGCAAGCCCAACGAGGGCATTTTATTTGCTTGCCCAGCAGAGAGAGTCTGGCTGGACCCTCCCCCTTTTCCACTTTTCACCAGCAGGGGGCCTGATTCCCCTCCCAGGGAAGTCATCCTGCAAAACTTTCCCCCAGCTGCGTGGGGGCAGGATCAGGCCCGTAAGAGGGAAAAGAGCTTTTTAGCAATTCCTCCTTCCCCTGAAGGCATGTTTCCAGGGAAAATCATGCCCCAGGCTCTTAAAGCAGGTGTAGCTCACCTCTTCCCTTTCTGGGGTGAACTGTTTGAGGAATCAATCCATCACAGAGGGGGTGCAGCATTTAAAAACAATGACATTGCAAACTCCCACCTTGGAGCCCTCAGAGAATCCGTGGAGTGAAAAACAATTTCCCTGCCTGAGCATACCCAAAGACGGACGACTTGTCCCGAGACACGTTTCACAGCGTGCAGAGAGGGCAGCCCCATTAGCACCAATTCTCAGAGGGTCTATAAATATCTCCTAATGGGGGACCATGGGCTTTCTGGATTTGAAAAGCCTCTCCACGCTGAACAGTGGCTTTGTGTACCACTGTGTCGGGCACACAGAAAGGCACACTGGTGTCCTCCGTAGAGAGAACGAGGGCGTTGCTGGGGTTAGTCGGAAGAGATTATGAAAAGAGGCTTTTAGTCGTGGCTACCTGGCAAAGTGAGCAGCATAACTAGATCTAGGATGCTTCTTGGTGCCCCAGTCTCTCTCTGGAAAGGGGCACATGCTTGAGAGGTACGCTAGGGTCAGGTGTATGGATGGAGCACTGCAAATGCTTAGCAGCTGAAGAAATCCCCTTTCCCTGGGCTTGAAGAGGTAACGATCTTCCTGCCCCGCTGTCATCTGAAGCTCGTTCTGCTGTCACTTGTCCACCGGTGTAAATCCAGAGCAGCCCCATTGGCGTTCGTGGCTCCCATTTGGATTTCCATGGGTGTGACTTGGAACAGCGTGGCGGTGCCGTAAGCTCATCCCCAGAGACACAGTGCAGAGCAGCGGTGCCCAACCTTGTCCAGATGGGGACCCATTTTGACAATTCAGGAAGACTTGGTGACCCAGGGCAATTCAAAAAAAGTGTGAATGGCTCCTTAAGAGCCACCTGGGGAGACACCTGGCCACCCTTTTGAAATGTAATGGTGACCCCTATTTGGGTCCTGACCCACAGGTTGGGAAACCCTGCTGTAGAGGCTGCCGGCCCTGATACCTGCCAGGGGAGAGGTTTGGTCCTGCAAACACCTCCCTCTGGTGACTGAGTAGTCCTGTGGATGCAGTAAGGGATCCCAGGATGGGGCCCGAACCACCGGAAAAGCCATAAACAGGTTAACATGGTTATTTTGCATGTGGGCAGCAATGGCTGAGGATTTGGGTTGCTCGCTGCCCAAATAACATCTCCTGGCAGATTGCCCTATCAGGTGGAGCAGCAAAAGGAACCTACCATGCCTAACCACTTTTCCATGGCAGATCCTTCTTATCCACCCCCAGGAAAGTCCGGGTGGGCTGGGAAGCGGGGCGGAATTGGCTGGCTGTCCCACAGCGAGGAAGAATGGCTATGGAGTTGCAGGCCGGAGCTAGCTTGGAGAAACCTCAGAACGACTCCCTGTTGGGGTCCGGTGGCTATTGCTGGCTCAGGACGCTGCTTCTCCTGAGCCCATCTCGCTCATTTCAATCGGAGCGGCGTGGAAGCCTGCTACAAGGAACAGTCTGTCTAAAAAGAGAGCTGGCCTCAGAAAGGGCCAGTGGCTGTAATCAGTCAGCCTCCCTGCCTGGGTCTGCTGGGGGGGTTCAACCCCCCTCCGCCCCTGGAAACTAATCAGGGAGAATCTGAGATCTGGTTACACAGCCAGTCCCAGACTATTGACCGACTGGCCTTGGCATGGTGCAATCTCTGACTATAGCGGTGGGGGGGCATTCCAGTAGCTCCTCCCCCCTGGGGATTTGAGCACAATGGGTCATATCAGCTTTCTGGATGGGGCTCTGTTATCACTAATGGGAGGGGCACACACACACACACACACACATGCACACACTCACAGTCTCTCTCTCTTTCTCTCTCTCTAAGCTTCCCCAGATGTATAGGACAGCCCACATTTGCATGCAATTAAGATCCCAAGAGTCCTTCATTAAATGAGTGGCCAAGACAGCATTGTGGCTACTCTAGGCTCAGCGCTGGCAGGTGGCCATTGCGTCCTCAAATCTTAAGCTCCCTGCTTTCAGGGGAGATTATGCTCCCATGCTGGCCTACGTCCCGCCAGGGAGTCACGGCGCTGAATGTTTTCTATGACCCCGATGACCTAGCTCCACGCCTTGTGTTGGGTTGTCTGGGATTCTATTCGCTTGCAAGTAACACTAGAGGCTTCCTGGTGACATGAGGAGGATGTCCTCACCTTGCTAGTAAAGGTGGATCACCGGCTGTTTGTGAAGTCAGTGGTTCCTTCCCTAACGTATCTCCCTTCCAATCTGCATTAGCACCCCGTTAATCATCCACACCTGCGTGTGCAGGGGCAGGGGGTAGTTTTACAAAAGGGGTAAAAGTGACCCCCAAGGTAAATACTTTTGAACGAGGGAAGTATTGCTAGCTGGCGACTGCAAAGTCAACATTTTGACTTGGAACGCTGGCGAGCGGAAAACAACCTGCTTTTTTTTCCCCTCTCCCCAAGATGTCCTCTGGGTAAGACATGGTTGGTGACTTTATTTCCTAAGCAGTCTTAATACCATTCACAGCCCTCTTGTTGATGATGAGAGAGCCTATACAGCTGCTACAGGTTGAACCTCTCTAGTCCAGCCCCCTCGGGATCTGACCGGTGCTGAACCAGAGAATTTGCCCATTCACAGGAGGTTAATACTGTCTAGTGGCATCACCAACACTTCCACTGCTTACTGGGATCTTAGAAGACATTTAGGGGTAAATTGGAGCTAACCAACAGCACAGAACACTGAGAGCCAGGACTGGTGGCTGTAAACAAACTTTATGGGACTGCGGGAAACTTGGCCACACCCGTGATAAGTGGACCTCTGGCTAACTAAAATCATGCTGAAGCGATTAGGAGTCCTGTGGCATCTTATAGACTAACTGAAGTGTAGGAGCATAAGCTTTCGTGGGCGAAGACCCACTTCGTCAGATGCATGCATCTGATGAAGTGGGTCTTTGCCCATGAAAGCTTATGCTCCTACACTTCAGTTAGTCTATAAGGTGCCACAGGACTCCTCGTCGCTTTTGCAGATTCAGACTAACACGGCTACCCCTCTGGACCACGGAGATTGCCGGACCATGCTGGACCACGGAGATTGCCGAACCAGAGAATGCTGGTTTAGAGAGGTCCAACCTGTATTAACGAGGCTGATTTTTCCACATAGGACACCCTGGGGCATGTACCATTAAGCCAGTGTTATCTTCTAGTGTCCTTCGACCAAATGCATTGCGGTTGTAACTCCCCTGATCTTGACAGTATAACTCCAAAGAGGGGTTTGGCTCCTCTTTGGAAGCTGGCTCCTAATCACACAGCCTGCAGGTGGATGGATTGGCAGATGTGGAGGAGAATTCCTCAGCAGACTCCGAGGCAGATGGGGTCCGCATGATTAATTTATTCCAGCAGTGCCTGGCCTCTCCTGAGGTGCCCGAACAGCAAAGTGCAGGGAAATCCCCAGCTTGTGCTTCCGATTTGCATGTCAGAGTAAATCAAGAGGTCGGCGTGAGCTCTCTCGCTCCTTGTCCTTTGCTCCAATAACAGGGGTTATTACAAAACCCTGGTGGCCCGTTCTGAGAATGGCTGGAAATCCAGCTGATGTCAGGACTCAGAACCTAGGAAAACGTGAACAAACTCCTGTCTGGGGTAGTTCTCTGCCTCCCACAAGAGCAGCTCAGCATCTGTAGTGTATTTATCCTCAATACACCCCAAGAAGCCAAGGCAGGCTTATTGTCCCCTTGGAAACTGAGGCCTGGGGAGACTTGCCCAAGACACACGGAAAGTCGGGGGCAGGACAGGGGGGTTGAAACCAGTCTAGTGCCTAACTATTGAAGTATCTCTCCCCCTGGCTGGGCCAGACACCCAGAGGGTGTAAATCAAAGTCACTCTACTGATTTCTGGGGTGGATCTGGCTGATTGACTTCTGCAGGCATCTCTGGTGCAGCTGTTACCCCACAGGAGTCAAAACATCTATGGCAGCAGTGTTCCCTTTTTTTTCCTCCTACCACCTGTGCAGAATAAATTTTGTGTGGTGCACCAAGGCATTTGCGGATGTGCACCATCAGTAGAAACCCAGGATGTGGGCATTCTGCTAATCAGCTGGGAGGCTTGGGGCTTTCTCCTGGGTGGCCACCCATGCTTTCGGCTTTCAGGGAACACTGCGTGGAAGCTGATGTCTTTGGAAGGGGGAAGCGCAATTTGTGCAGCTTTTCTGAAAAAAACATATAGGCTACGTCTACACTGGGATGATTTTCCGGAAATGCTTTTAACAGAAAAGTTTTCCATTAAAAACATTTTCGGAAAAGTGCGTCTAGATTGGCAGGATGCTTTTCCAGAAAAGCACTTTTTCCAGAAAAGCGTCCGTGGCCAATCTAGACGCGCTTTTCCGCAAAAAAGCCCCGATCGTCATTTTCGCGATCGGGGCTTTTTTGCGGAAAACACAACTGTGCTGTCAACACTGGCCCTTTTCCGGAACAGTTTTCCAGAAAAAGACTTTTGCCCTAACGGGAGCAGCATAGTTTTTCCGGAAAAGCACTGATGATTTTACATTAGATCGTCAGTGCTTTTCTGGAAATTCAAGCGGCCAGTGTAGACAGCTGGCAAGTTTTTCTGGAAAAGCGGCTGATTTTTCGGAATAACTTGCCAGTGTAGACACAGCCAGCGTGTAGAGCTAGCCTCAGGGGCCTCAGGACTCCTCGTTGAATTTCCGTGTGAGTGCTTGCGATGTAGCTAGCCCTACTCACCTTACTGAGGTGACCCTTGCGTCCGAAAGAGGCTTCAGTAGGGGGAGAGGGAGATTGGGGCTGTCGGCAAAGGCAGGCTGCTGTGTACCTTCTGCTTTGGCTGGTCAGGGTAACAGTTGATTAAATCAAATGGACGCTGTCCCAAAGGCAGTGGCGAAAAGCAGAGGGCGTGGGTTTTTGTGACGCCCTTTTCCGTTAATGGGATTGTCCACTCCCAGTGCATGGAGATATCTTCTGCAGTCTGGCATGGATGCTGTAGGAAGCTGTGTGTGATGTTCTCTTGGTCTCATAGGTCTGACGGGAGTACACGGAACAAGGGGCTCACCTGTTTATCTACTCTCCGCAGATGGCGGACTGGTCAGAGCAAGAGTAATAATGAAAGAAAGAAATAGAAAGTGCTTGTTGGTGAGAGAGGCTGAGCATTAGCAGGCGGGGTGAGGGCATGTTCTTAAATCACTGATTTCTTCTAAAAACGAGTCGTGCAGCTCTAAGTTACACAGCAGCAAGGCTCTGGTCCTCCATTGTAATTGTTAAACACAGAAGGATGTAACTGGAGGGACGCCAGGAACCGGGCTTGAAATTTTGAAATTGGGAGGAGAAAGTAGAAAAGTCATAGGTCTGTTTGATGCATCTGGATCAGTCCTGTGTGTGTTGCTGAACAGAACTGATGGGAAACGTTTTACAGTACTCGATCGGCCTGATCAATTCTTCTGTGCTGGAGGGAGGGCAGATCAAATGGCTTAAAGACCTAAGAGCAATAGCATCATCTTCTATGTGGTGGAAGACCAAGTCACAATGCGCACCATGGCCAAATCAATGTCACGTGGCTGACTTGGTCTTCCACCACATAGAAGATGATGCTATTGCTCTTAGGTCTTTAAGACATTTGATCTGCCCTCTCCCGGGACTATGGCCAACCCAAGGATGTCATACACAGACTAATAAAAAGTCTGGGTTGTTTCTCTTTTACTGCCCAGATGAGTTTGGTTTGTGCTCCTCCACCCCGGTTTGCTCACCTCTTCTTTTTAACTGCAAGTACTTCGTGAAGACCTATACAATTTAAACCAAGCATCCAATGGGCAAAATGTTTGCAGAGCGATAGCATGGGTGCTTTGATACTAAGCTGGGAGCAGAGAACTCTTAACTCTTGCTAACCAAGATATTTTCTTCTTAATCTTATTTTGATTTTAGGTTACGGTGTCTTTGGATTCCAAGTTGACCGGCCATGAGTGCAATTGACTTGACTTCCATCCTGGATCTTCTGGACGTGGGAAATTTCTCTGACAGCAACTGGACATGCAACAATGGGGACTGCATCATTGTGGACACCCTCTCGTGCCCTAGCACACTTAACAAAAGTGTCTTACTGTACACCCTCTCGATCTTCTACATCTTTATCTTTGTGATAGGGCTGGTGGCCAACTCGGTGGTTGTCTGGGTCAATCTCCAGGCCAAAACGACCGGTTACGAAACCCACCTCTACATCTTCAATCTTGCGATTGCCGACCTGTGTGTTGTCATCACCCTTCCGGTTTGGGTGGTCTCCCTTATCCAGCATAACCAATGGCACATGGGAGAAATCACATGCAAGATCACTCACCTCATATTTTCCATTAATTTGTACGGGAGCATCTTCTTCCTGGCATGCATGAGTGTGGACCGCTATCTCTCGGTCGCCTACTTCACCAACTCCAGCAACTGCAAGAAGAAGATCATCCGACGCTGCATCTGCATCTTTGTGTGGCTTCTTGCCTTCTGTGTCTCTCTCCCGGACACCTATTACCTGAAGACTGTCTCTTCGAACAATGAAACTTATTGCCGACCTCTCTATCCCGAGGAGAGCTTCAAAGAGTGGCTGGTTGGCATGGAGCTCATCTCAGTTGTGTTGGGCTTTGCCATTCCTTTCCCCATCATTGCTCTTTTTTATTTTCTCCTTGCAAGGACCATCTCTGCCTCTAGTGATCAAGAAAGGAAGAGCAATGGCAAGATCATTTTCTTTTACGTCATTGTGTTCCTTGTCTGTTGGCTGCCTTACCATGCAGTTGTCTTGCTTGACATCTTCTCAGTCCTTCATTTTATACCCTTCAGTTGTCAAATGGAGAGCTTTCTCTATGCGGCTCTTCATGTCACCCAGTGTTTCTCCCTCATCCATTGCTGTGTCAACCCCATCCTCTACAGCTTCATCAACCGAAATTACAGATATGAGCTCATGAAAGCCTTTATTTTCAAGTATTCGGCCAAAACAGGCCTCACTAAACTGATTGATGCTTCCAGAGTATCGGAAGCTGAGTATTCTGCTCTGGAGCAAAATGCCAAATGATCACCGCTCTGTAAAGACTACTCTTGGGCCTTTGTTGTGATGGGAGCATGTCTGTGATGGGACACGAATTCACAGTTTGGAAGAGAAAAAAAGAACCAGCATTTAAGTGTTGAAGTGTGGAGCAAAATGAGAAGTGGTTACTAAAACCATTCATTTATTTCATTGTTTTGTTTTATCTATGGCTAGCTAATCCGACTTTCTGGACCGAGACCAGGGTGCAAATTCTATGCAAATGGATGCAAATTTGTAGTAAACAAAGCCATTGGTGTGCCCTGGATATTACATATCTTCACGATAGGCTTTTTTCCCACATGTGTAATGGAGATCCTTTCTTGGTTTCATTGTATATGTGTAATATATAGAGAAAAATATATATAGTGTGTTGTATTTAAAAACCCAAGACTTTATTTTTTGGCTGTTGGTGTCCCTTATACAAATGTATTTGAAAGTTTAAATATATTTTTTATCATGTATTTGGAGTATATTGCTGACAATTGTACCCAGAGTGCTATAGTCTGAATAGTAGATAGTCCAATTATAGTCACAACGAATGACAAAGGATAGCATTATTAGCCGTATGGAGATTGTGTACTTATATGTTTGTGTGTCTACTTTGGCCGGCACACTTTATTTACAAACCTTTATGTTGTGGTTTACACTGATCGGTATGGAAATAAGCTGAATGTACCGTGGTCTAGTTTGGCATCACGTTAAAATGAACAGTAACATAAGAGTCAGGTTAATGCCTGTTTCACCAAGCAGTATCCATGTGCACAAAATGAAAACCATCTTTCCAAGAGTCCTCTGTATTTGTAAGTTATTTTTTTTTAAATAAAGCTCTTGAAAAATACCCAACAGCGATGTAACTTCTTTTTTCAAACTAGCCCTTTTACTTCCTTTGATGCAAGAACAGACCTGTTGCTGGCATGTTAATGGCAAACAGAAACAATTTAAAGAGGAATGTCAATAGGATTTAAATTGAAAGGGGGGAAAACAAAGGTGTGGACAGGAGGAGTTTTTGAGTCATGTATTCAAAAGATGAGTCCACAGTATGCTTAAGCTAAAGGCTGCTGGGAAAGACCGGATCTGGAGCATAAATCCACATGCACAGCAAAACTTGGAGGAATGTAACATAAAGTAGACTTAGTTTTTTGCTGTCATTGCTCTGCAGTTCCCAGATATCATGGAATCCTAGAACATTAGAACGGGAAGGGATCTCGAGAGGTCATCGAGTCCAGTCCCCTGCCCTCACGGCAGGACCAAGCACCGTCTAGACTAGACCATCCCTGATAGATGTCTATCTAACCTGCTCTTAAATATCTCCAGTGATGGAAATTCCACAACCTCCCTAGGCAATTTATTCCAGTGTTTCCCCACCCTGACAGGCAGGAAGCTTTCCCTAATGTCCAACCTAAACCTCCCTGCTGCAATTTAAACCCATTGTTTCTTGTCCGATCCTCAGAGGCCAAAGAGAACAATTTTTCATCCTCCTCCTTATAGCATCCTTTCAGGGACTTGAAAACTGCTCAGTCTGGCATGCAAGCATCCTTCGGCTTATTTAACTCATTTTATTCCCTCAATTTATTCATTTGTGTCACCGTAGCATCTAAAGAGCCCTACACATGGGCCAGAACCCCATCGTGCTCGGGGCTATATAAACACCGAACCGAAAGGTGTCCCAAGCAGCTTCCAAGGTAGGTACTTGTCACCGCAAATTCTTCCAACCGCTGGGCCAAATTCAGCCAGACAAGGAAAGCTACTGAAGCTTGTGGTATCACAAGGTTTCTTTAACCCCAGTCAGAACAGGAAGTGGTTATTTCTGTGCTTGTATGTTACCCAGCGAAGGAATGCTTTCATTGTTTTGCCTGCCTCTTTCATTATTTCTGAAGCTCTGATTGTTATTTCTCAGTCAAGGTTGCTGCTGAGCTTCCATCGTTAACCTAATTTTGGTTCCTCCTTCCGTACAGCCGCACTCCAAATCGAGTCCTCCAGCCCGGTGATTTTCAGTCAGTCAGATTAAACCCCGCCTCCCCACAGCACACACCTCTTCTCCTGCCTCTCTTTCATCAGTACCGGGCCAGAGTGGATGCTGCATGACTGTTATTGGTTCGAACAGTCCTCCAGGAGCAATCCCACAATGCCTCTGTCCCAGCAATGATAACGGATCTGGTCACAATGTTGAATCTGGTAAAACTTTGTAGCGAGAGCATGGCCCTTAATTTCCCTTTTCAGGAGAAAAACAAAAGAGAAACCAGGCGATAAATAAGTCTGCGCTCACTGGAGTCTTTTAGGCAAGGACTTGCCTATTTGGGAAAGTTTCCTGGGGGGGGGGGTCACACTTGTACTCCCAAATAAGAATGGCTTTTAACAGTTTAGATTAAACTGCTTCCAAAAATACATAAGTGAAACTGGAAAAAGGCAGATTTATCCTGGAATAAGTGTCCACCTACAGCTTTATCAATGTGTTTAAATGTACCCCTTAGCGTACACTTTCCTCTGTCGACGAGAGAACAGGGCCTAGGATCAAAACTGAATCAAATTACAGTCTGATTACCCAAGTGGTTCGTTTTTTCAAGGTGTAGCATTTCTACGGAGCATGCATTCAGGGGAGAACGGTGTGGAAGCTCAGAATTGCTGGCGCTGATTTTTCAGAAGAAACATAAGTGAGTCTGAGACCATCTTCCTTTGCAGAGATGGATGTCAGAAAAGTATTAGGCATGACAAGGAAGAGCAGAGAGCAAGGTTCATTCCTTCCCTGCAGCATTCACATGTCAGAAAACAGCTGTGTGAAGGGGCGGGAGGTAAACGTCCCCTGAGCAGTGCTGGTGAAATCAAACCGAGTATTTCAGAACTCGGTGGTGAGGTATTAACTATTCTTGGATGACTTCATGTGGGAAGAATGTGATCTGCTTTAAAAGCATCTTCTGTGGGGTAGGAGTACCTGTATAGAGCAGGTGTGCGGAGAACTTTTTTGGGGGCTGGGGGCAGCTGACCCACAGAACAATCAGTTGGGAGCTGAAGAAAAATACCCCCAACCCCAGAACAACATATTCCCCTCGCACACTGGAGGGTAGGAGGGCCCAAGTTGGCAGATTTTGTGGGGGCAGCATGCTCTGGGTGGGGCTAAAAATGAGTTCAGTGCGTAGGAGGGGGCTGCCGGGAGGTGAGCTTGGGGTGTGGGGTCTTGGTGGGTAGGAGGGTGCAGGAAAGGGGTTAGGAGTTGGCATTGGGAGGGTGCAGGAGCTGGCGGGGACATGGGGGTAGGGCTGGGCTGGAGGCAGGGTGGAGTGGAGTGGGGGTGCTGGGTGTGGGCAGGAGGGTGCCAGCTCCCCAACACTGTGGGGAGGGGAGTCCTGAGGGTCAGGGGCCGAATCCAGGCAAGCTGGGGGCTGGATCTGTTCCCTCCGTAGGTCCCCCACCCCTGGTATAGAGGCATGAAATCTAGGGGGGTTGGTTTCTAATCTTGATTTACCTCACAGATCCCCCCTACCCCAAGTGCTGCATCTTGTGCTGGGGGCTGGATGAACAGGAAGATACTGACAACCGCCCGTGGTCAGACAGCCCCCGCCCCAAGATGGCGCCTGACCATGTCGTTCCCAGCACGTGGTGGGAAGAATAGAAGCCTGGCTCCAGCGAAAGGCCAGGCGAAGCTCTTCTGCTTTGTGCCAGCTTAAAAAGGTAAGTTGCAGGGCACCAAACCCGTTTCCAGGGCCTCAGCAAGCTGCGTGCCTGGGATCCAGGCTGCCCCCCACAGGTCACGCCCAGTCTGTCTTAACGAGCTGCTTGATGGGCTGCCGTAGCGGCTGGGTCCGATTGGAACCTCGTGGCTGGGCCCTGCATCTACGGGGAGCCGCTGTGACGTCCCTGAGGCCTGGTGGGGGGCAGGGATTGCAGAGGTGGAGCAGTAGGGAACAAGAAAGGTTCCCATTCCAGACCCCCAGCGCTAACACTATGCATCCATGGAGCTCTTGAGCCAGTTCCCTGCTAGTGTACATCAGGCGTCAACCCCTGGATTCTCCTGCAGGTTATCTAGGATCACCACCGGTGCTACGGAGCAGGGTTGCCCACCTCTGCAGCCCCAGGAAGGATCCCAAAAGGCTGGCCTGCCTTTGCTGGGGAGTTTGGTTTTTGCAAAACAGCTTACAGTTATAAGCACACATGCATGGGGTGCAGAATGATTTTAAAAGATGTTGTGGAGTAAATCTCAGCTGGAACAGTAAGGCACCTGGGCTGTGTCCAGACTCAGGGGTTTTTTCGGGAAAAGTAGCCTTTTTCCGAAAAAACTTCCCCTGCGTCCAGACTCAAGCCGCGTTCTTTCAAAATTAATTCGAAAGAACGCGGCTTTTCTTTCGATGGCGGTAAACCTCATTTCACGAGGAAGAACGCCTTCTTTCGAAAGTTCCTCTTTCGAAAGAAGGCGTTCTTCAATGTAAGTAGGGCTTCTTCGAAAGAGAGCATCCAGACTCCCTGAGTGCTTTCTTTCGAAAAAGCGGCTTGCTCTTTCGAAAGTTCCACGTGCAGTCTAGACGCTCTCTTTTGAAGGAGGCTCTTTCGAAAGTATCTTTCGAAAGAGCCTCTTTCGAAAGAGGCTTGCAGTCTAGACATAGCCATACATAGTAGTTCTTTATAGTACATCTTGCAGGCGATGTGCCCTGCAATTTTTTCTATCCATATGCAGAATAACTTTTGTTACATGCACCAAGACATGCACAGATGTGTACCACCAGTAGAAACACAAACTACCCTCTGTGAGAGGCAATGGGTGCTCTGCCAATCAGCTGGGTGGCATATGAATCTCTTCTGGTGGTCCCCAAGTGCTCAGCTTACAGGAAACCCGGCTGGTGGGCCACAGCGGTATTCTTACAGCTATGCTGAGTCTTTCTCTCTTTCCTTTCTGCGTTTGCTGGTCCGTGAGGATGTCTGCACTTGGTTTTTGGCTTTCCAGCAGCTTATGATCAAACAAGTTATTAAATCCCCAAGGACTATAAAACAGAAATACATAGGTCAATTGCCTAAGGAACCGATTTTCAAGGTCCCTATTTAAGGGCCCGATCCGGCAAACATTACTCCCCTTAGTCGTTCTGACACATATGGCCCTGCGGATGGTGAAATTACTCCAAGGAGTCAGTTTCACAAATAAGGGCTGTTGGTTCAGATTGCTTCTTCTCACTTGACTCCCACTCTGTCTTTAGTGGTCAGTTTGGCTATGTCGACACTCGCGGCTTCTTGCGCCGGAAATATGCAAATGAGGTGAAGCGTGGAATATCGCCGAGCCTCATTTGCATACCTAATAAGCTGCCATTTTTGCAAAAGCGGCTCCTGTGCCAGAAGGAGCTGTCTACACTGTCCCTTTTTGCGCAACAAAAACCCTCTTGCGCAATACCGTTACACTGATTACTTTTCAGGCAGATCAGCATTGCGCAAGAGGGCTTTTCTTGCGCAAGAAGGGGCAGAGTAGACAGCTCCTTCTGGCACAGGAGCCGCTTTTGCAAAAATGGCAGCTTATTAGGTATGCAAATGAGGCTCGGCGATATTCCACGCTTCACCTCATTTGCATATTTCTGGCCCAAGAAGCCACGAGTGTTGACACAGCCTTTGTCTCCGGACAGGATGGAAGCAGATGTCCCACCTTGGCTGTAGCATTCATAACAACCACAAAAATACACTCACAACAGCCCTTGTTTTATGCAGTGGTTATTCGCTACCGACTCTTCGTTTAACGAGGCACCTTCGTTCCTTTGGCGAGGGATTTAATGATGAGGGTCATTCAGATTGCGCGCCCGCACATTCCATCCTTGTCCAGCTCCTTGGGCTGTTACCGAAAGATAACTTGGGAGATTCCTGACCTCA